CAGCAGGCAGGCCCTGCACCCCAAACTTCCCTAACAACCTAATAATCATTTTCTAAAGGCTGTTAAGGGTCTTTTCAGCCCCAAGGCAGGAGTATGGCCAGTCCCTGCCCTACAAGAAGAATCCTACCAATCCCTGAACAGGAAAACCCACCAATCCCTGAGCACCCCCAAACTCAGGACTTGAAAGCACACCAATCCTCACCCTGGAAATCTCTACCCTGCAAATCTCTGCCCCCTAAGAAGTCATATATAAGCCCTGCCTACCATTCTGTTCCCTGCTATTCCCTCCAAACCCTGGATTTGTCCATCCCAGTACATCTCTTTATGAGATTAGCTGCCCGGTGTGACTCTGCCAAGAAGCCAAGAAGGTGGAAGTGAAGAAGGGGAGAAGCAAAGAAGTGGAGCAAGGCTGAGGTTCATGAGCTCCTCAGCTCGGCTGGGGATACCCTCCCTGGCAGATGTGTCACTGAAGAAGAGAGGTACAGTGGAGCTGTTACATTGTAGCACTCCCGCTCAGCCAAAGATACCCTCCCTAAGGGCTGTATTGCCTCTGCTGAGGAGGCTTTCCCTCAGAGCTGTGTGGCTCCTGGGCTCCCAAGTCCCAAGATACCTTTCCATTACAGCAGGAAAGCTGACAGCAACCCCTTGGGGTCAACCAACCCTTTCACAGGGGTCACCTAAGACCATCAGAAAACACAGATGTTTGCATTATGATTCATAACAAAATGATAGTTATAAGCAAAATTACAGTTATGAAGTAGCAACGAAATAATTTTATGGTTGGGGGGGTCACCATAACACAAGGAACTGTATTAAAGGGTTGTAGCATTAGGGAGGTTAAGAACCACTGTAATCTAAAGCATAAATCAAGTCCTATCTCTTGTTGCTTTCAAGCCTCTAAGTAGTTTCTAGAACAAAACCCAAAGTCCTTATCATGATCTGCATTTGATAACTCCCGAATGACCCTCTTCTCACCTTAGACTAATGCCCTCTTCTCTTTGTCTGTTCACCCGCCCCCTCCTTTCCTAAAATATGCCCTTTTGTTTTAGTGCAAAAGATGGCAGGGTTCTCTATGCTTCTGTTTTATATAGAAAGGTTTATTGATGCACAGGCATGACAGATTTACGGAGCCTGGTCTGAAAGTTGCTATTTGTCTTCACAGAAAGTTTGCTGAGCCTTCTTTTGGGTGGCCTTGACCATGTTTCCAGCTCCCTTGCCAGTTTACAAGCCAGCTGCTTTCTGTACTTAGACACCCAGTTACCATGCTCTGTCTTCAAACAGAGCCTTCTGACGCCATTTCTTTAACAGAAGTCTCAAGCCTTTCCCCTAAACACGCTATTATTTCCTGCCACCCTGCTCTGCTTCTGTCCAGCACCTTCTCAATGTGAGATTACATATTTGTTTATCATTCTCCCTGCTTACTGTCAGTGCCCTCCCCTTACAACTCTCAGCTTCAGGAGAACCGGAGTCGGGGAGGAAGTACTCCCAAGAGCCTTCCTCTAATCAACTCCTAGAATTTCTACATCCTCTTGAACTGGACCCTTTTGGAGTGGTTCTCTAATCACACTTTGGTCTGAACATTAGCCATCCATTCTGCTTCTGTGAGAAGCTGAGGTGGGGTCGGGGGCAGGTCACATCTTTAGGGAAGAATTTAGTTTCCAGTCTGAACGTGAGGTTGCCTTTCTTAAAACTTCTTAGCAGTTAGCGAGCTGTAGCCCCACCTCATCCTCACAATCATTCAGCCCTCTCACTCTTCCACGTATACCACAAAACGGGCGGTGAGGTGGGCTAGCTAGTCACTGTGCCCGGGAGCCCTAAATCTAGAGAAAAGGCTTGTAGTTTTCTCCTCTGGTCACCAGGGGGCTGAGCACCTTCCTCAGTCCCGATTCTTCCCTAACTTCCCAGAGGGCTCTTGGGAAAACTGGGAAAGCAGTTAAGAAATGTCCCTCCTTGGATAGCAAACTGCACACAGGCAGAAGGAACACACAAACACATCAGATGGAGACCCAGAGCCCTTCTGAGACCCACAGTCACCAGCGGAGAGGCAGAGCAGGAAGTGGTTTTGAGAGCCACTCCCTCTGCAAAGGCCAGAAAATAAAGGAACCCATCTGGTTAAAACCAGAACAAGCTAGAGTTCACTTTGTCCATTTTCCCTTCATGCCCCAGCATGCCATCCTATCTTCCATTCTAGGGTATCCTAGGTAGTGTGGAGAGTGCCTGGACATAGATTAGATTTCTGTGGGAAACAATCATGGAGAAGGCAGGAAAGGCACTCAAAACTTAACTTTGATGGCCTTGGCTTGAATCTTGATGGCCTAATAGTTTCAGGGCCCCTCTCAAAGTCACCATCGTGATTTTGTATAAGTATCCCTGGACTGCTGGGCAGTTTTGAGGATTTAGTGAGCCAACTCCTGCACATGCTTAAGCCCAGACTCTGGTAGACATGTTTGAGTTTTGAACAGGATGGCAAAGCAGAGGGCAGATAGGAGATTACACACACATCACAGGGCTTCTGTAATCATTGTAAATAATCCCGAGCTCTCACAGTGCTGTGAGTCTCCTCCAGTGAAGGGGAAAGGACCGAATAAGCATTTGCTTTGTGTTGGTGTGATGCTCTACTCTTAGCTGCTGCCAGAACCAGCACTTCTTCTGAGGTATCAGCATCTGTTCCTTGGGCCTCTTGCATTCCAGGACACAGAGTTCAGTATCTCCATCTCTTGGCTCTGTGATGGCTCGAGGAAAGCCATCTCTCTCTTCAGGATGTTTTGTATATCTTCAGCAGAACACTGCCACTGCTACTGAGACACTTTTGACACAGTACCCTAGCAGGTACTAACACACATGCCTGCACAAAAATGTTACTCTTACCTGATGGACCCAAGGCTGGCGAGTACCATGATGAATGGCAAGATCATAGGTTTGGAACCAAGGCACTTGGAATATTTCCTCCATGTTCCTTGCTACAGATGTACTAGTCGAAGCAACCATCTGGGAACAAGTTGGGGGGGGGCTGAGGACACCCATTCACTCTCCTCAAAGAGTAGCTCAAATGCACAGGCCCTGGATAATGGGTGAGCAAAGTCTTCTGTGAGATAAAAAGGCATCTTTGTCTCACGTGGGATATATATTCACAGTTTCCTGAGACCTCAGAGCACTCTGCTTTCCTCAGATGCAGGTTGTCCAAATGTGCCCTGAAGAATTCTGGGTAGTCAACAGAGTCTTTGCTGGTTGTCAGTCAGACCCGAATGGGTAGGGGCCAAGCTACCAACCACCAACTACCTTCCCTTCAGACGTGGCCCCGTTTTGGTGACTTGCACAGATGATTCTTGTGCTACTGAATTGAAATTCTATACCTAAAAATAAGTTTGTAAAATGGCCCGTTAAAAGACATGAACTGCAGAGAAGAAATTTCCTTGGCCGGCTGGGAGTCATTGGCTTCTCAACCTGGGGATGCAAGGCTTTGAGGGTCGGGAACAAAGCCTGTGTTATGTGTTGTGGAAGGGTGAAACATCCCTTCACCCCACAGCCCTCTTTAATTAGCTCGGAGCAATACCTTCTGCAGGTTCTTATCAGTGTTTCCTGATAAGGTAATTAATGGGCTTCTCTTCTCCTCTGAGTGTCCTCCAGCCCCAGAGGGCTGTGCTCCAAAGGAAGGCGCTAATTGGTTCTTGTGTGATGTCTGGGAAAGTAACTGCACCTGTTTAGAAAAGCAGGGTGGAGCCTTCATCCTCTCTGGGGGCGGGGCTCAGGCTCTCTGACACTTGTTCCTTTTGCTTGTTCCTTTTGCTTGCTGCCAGGTCTGCCCAGAAAGTTCCACCCCTTCCACACAGCCCCTCTCCTACCACCAGCCTCTGCAGGTGGCTGACAGAGGCCCTAAGACAGAGGCCCTGCCTTGAGCCCTCAAACCAGTCACTGGAAGCTCCTGAGTCGCCTGGATTCACAGTTGTCTCAAGCCACCCTGCATGGAAAACAGTCAGGCCCCCTCAACTGCAGGGCAGAGGTCAGTCTCTACACTGAGTTCTGCCACCTGCTGAGCTATGCGACCTGGGTAGATGCTTTGACTCCAAGACTTATAGCTACAAGTAAAGTGAGGGTTGGTCTCAGGGATAGCAAGTGTGTGGTTTGGATGGCTCTGAAGACTTGGTCACTACTTTCTACTTTGTTGTCAGTAGGAAAGCCATGTTCAACTTCTGTGGAAAATGTTAGTGGACCCTCTAGCTGCCCTGTCTCCCAGAAATCAGGACACCCCTCCTTCATTCTCTCTCCCTGGGCAGAGAGTTGCAAAGTAAAGCTGCTGCGGCCCGTGGTCTCCCTCTCTTGCCACTTCTAGTAACCCAGAGCCACACTCCATGTCCATCCCCAAAATAAAGTTGCATTTTAAATTTACTTTTATCTAGTGCCTTCCTTCCTTGAGGCACAAATGGTATGAAACTTCCCCTCATAATTATCCCAACCCCCGGCCCAGGCATCAATTAGAATAAGAGATTCCCTTTGTTTTCTAGAATCAATGGGGCCCTTTCCCTTAAGGGTTCTCACCATACTGTGCTGGACATCTCTCTTCATGGAATTCTTCTTCAGAGCTGAAACCTCGCTCTTCAGGGCCCCACCATGCTGCCGATGCTATCTATAACTTACCTAAGAAAGGCTCTGAAGGCCAGTTCATGTCAGTTTCCTATCCACTGAGCCAGGGATCTAAGTTATAACAGGAAGCCCAAGAGGTTTGAACATGACCAAAGTCAGCATTGATTGACATGGCTGCTGCTTGTCTTGCCAGTGGTATGACTGGCATTGGACACAGGCCGTTCTTACTGTGGTTTAGAGTTAAGCTTCTTGAGATGTGTAGGGTTTTTAGAGAACATTCACCCACTAAATGCTGACACACATACATAGCCATTCCACTTAGCTGTGGAAGCTAAATATCAAGTCTCCCACTGGATTCTTGGAGCCAAGGATAGTATTGAACCCAATCGATACTGTGTTTTCTTCATGTGTACGTATATTCTTTTGATCAAGTTTAATTCATAAATCAGGAAGGGCAAGAGATTAATAACAATAACTAACAATAAAAAGAACAATTGTGGTAATACACCATGGAAGATTGGCCAGTACTGTTATGTTTGCATTCCTAGGCCATCATTAAGTAAAATAAGGGTTACTTAATATAAGCACTATGGTAATGTGACATTAGACCTAATATCTTAGACTCATACTAAGTGATAGGTGGGTAATATATAGAGGGTGGGTGCTGGACAAAGGGACAATTCTTATGCTAAGCAAGGCAAGGAGGACAGAGGAGCTTCTTGTCATATTACTTTGGAGGGAACAGAATGTAAAACTTATGAAATTTTTTTTCTAGAAGTTCCCATTAAATGTTTTCAGATCATGGTTGAACTCAGGTAACTGAGACTTCAGAAAGCAAAACCCTAGACAAGAGGTGCAACTGCACTCCACAGATTCCCCAATATCCCTTGGGAGAACAGTGGCACTGGGAGTGCCCATGATCACAGGTGGGTAGATGGAAATAAGGCAGTTATTTTGACTGCGTGTGACAAAGGCTATTTTTAAAATGGCTCAGCTGAAAATGAGATGCATTCCCGTGCCGTGGAGAAGCCACAGGAGAGACCTGAACTGTCTATCTCCATTAAACAAAGCAATTTTTACCTCCCCTTCAGTGGCATCTACAGTAGGGGAGGACTTCCTGTTTGCGCTGCATTTGCAGCCGCCTTTCTGTTTTGTGAGAAATGATGATGGAGAAGTATAGAAGCCCTTTCTAGGACCTATGGAAGTGAGTTGGCATAGAGCATCCTTTTCTTTAGTCCTCACAGATTAATGGGGATGGAAGTATAGTCAGTTGTTGTGCCTGCCTAGGACTTCAGATCTAGAGATGTCACAGAAAGCTTCATGGGTACATCAGAGGGTTATTCATTGCAGCAGTCTTGGAAGTGAGAGGTAATAGAGGTGGCAAGGGTCCCCCCATAAAGAGGCCAGTGTGGCAGCAGGCAATGGGGGCTATAAGAACATCTTACAGATTTCTTGTGGTATGAGCTAGGTTGGCCTCTGCCAGCTTCAGTTTCCACATGGAGCTTGTTAATCCTTCTCATTGATTCTGAAAGTGGTCTAGTCCCTTTCTAAACAGCCATTCTCCTTATTAAACTAATCCAAGTTGGTTTCTGTTGCTTGATGCCCAAATTTTTACTAATACAGCTCGGAGCAGTGCCTGGGAAGGGTGCAAACTAGAAGACAAATGAGCTGCTATACAATCTGAGGAGGGCTGGGATCAGAAGCCATCAGAACCTCCCAAGGCCAAGAACCTTCCCCAAAATGGTGACTAACATTATCCATCTTGTTTGTTAACTTGACGGTGTTTAGAATCACCACGGAAACAAGTCTTTGGCCATGTCTAGAGTACATAGAGGTGGAAAGACTCATCCCAAATGTGGATGGTGCCATTTCATAGATTGGACTCTGGGACTGAGAATGGAAACGAGAAAGCAAGCTGTAGGAAAGTGTTTAACATGCTCTGCTTCTTGGCTGAAGGTTCAGTGTGACTGGATGCCTCAGGATCAAGCCCCAAGATGCCCCCTCCCACATTCACACACCGTCATGGACTATATCCCCAAGCTGTGAGCCAACGTAAGCCCTTCTTTCCTTTAGCTGCTGTGGTCGGGTATGTCATGGTAGCATCAAGATAAGGCATCAACACAGTGACTGCGGTAGTGACCTTATTGGAGGTCTCATTCTTTTCATGGGGCAGCCTCACTAACACAGCAGGCCTATTTTCTGAGGTTGGTTTCTGGCACCCCTTCCTTGATGCCCCTCTTTGCTAAGTTGAGGTACCAAGGGCCAATGAAATGGGTCTATCTTCTCTTTACCGTTCATGAAGCCTCTCTCTTTACTACAGAAGGTTATGTGGATAGGTGACTCCACACTTGTCATTGTCAGTTCTAGAAAAATAAAATAACTGAACTTAAAAAAAAAATAAATAAAGGCAATCTTCTAAGTACCTGAGTCTTTCCCTCCTCTCTGATTTCTCAGGGAAAAATGGTTTTAAAAGGGTCTAGTTTTGGTCATGGACTCTGTAATAGAGGTGATTGTATCCTCACCCCAGGATATGGGGTGACTCTAACTAAGACTCCTGGCAGTACGGACTATGGAGGCTGAAAGTGGCTACCTGCTATAGCCAGGCAGGACTTCTAGTGGAGGGAGGGGCACACCAAGCCACCCACAAAACCTTCGACACAGAATTTACCCTGCCAACAAGGTTTGCTGAGACCCACCCAATGGGAGCGAGCCAACCCCTGTCACTGTTAAGAATATTCCACTATGCTTACAGACAGGAAACCAGCATAACTGTCCTCTGAGAGGCTTCACCTAGCAGCGTATCAAAACAAAGGCAGAGACCAACAGCCAAACATTAAGCAGAGCATGGGGAGCCCTGTGGAAGAGTTGGGGGAAGAATAGAGGGACCTGGAAGGGACAAGAATGCCACAAGAAGACCAAGAGAGTCAAGTAACTGAGGACCAGAGGCTCACAGAGACTGAACCACCAACCAAAGAGCGTGCATTGACTAGACCTAGGCCCCTACACGTATGTAGTTGATGAGCAGCTTGGTCTTCATGTGGGTCCCCTAGCAATTACAGAGGGGGCTGTCTCTGATATGGACTCTGTTGCCTGCTTTTGGATCACTTTCCCCTAGCTGGACTGCCTTGTCCAGCCTCAGTGGAAGAGGATGCTCTTAGTCCTGATGTGACTTGATGTGCCACAGCAGGTTGGTGGCTGGGTGGGGGGGAACACACAGCTCCTCGTTTCTGAGGAGAAAGAGAGGGAGTAAAGGGGGCAGAGGGTAGGAGGGCAAGACCTGGAGGAGAGGAGGGAGGGGCTGTGATAAGGATGTAAAGTGAATAAATAAAGTAAAAGAAATAAATGAAACCAAAACAAAACAAACCAAAACAAACCAAATAATAATATCCTCTCCTCTTCCTCCACTAGGAAACATCAAAAGGTAAAAAGCCTAAATGGGGCCAGAATCCAGAAGAAATGCATGTAGGAACAGCAGCTACAAAGAGCGGAAATGGGAGTGTGAAACTGTTTTCCTTTGAAGCCTTCTACAGGGCAGCATTCTTTGGACCAGGCAGAGGCTCTTCTTTGAGTCATTCAAGGCAACTGTTCTCCTCCCTACACACCACCTCACAACAGCTGGGAGGGTTAGAGCATGAAATTGAGGCCATGATATATAGACTCGGGATTCAGATGCTCTGGTCCCAAATCCCAGCTGAGTCTCTTTGGGCAAGTCATTAAATTACGATGCTTCTGTTTCCTCTGATGGTAGCCAGCTCATAAGATTTCTGCGAGACTTTATCTATTTGCTTTCTTGTAGTGGAAATTGAACCCAGGGCCACTACCGTTGATCCGTAGTTTTAACCCTATTTTTACTTCTTTCTTTTGTTTTTAATTTATTTGTCCCTTTACAGACATACAAACATCTATAGTGCTTTGGTTATACTCTCTCATCATCCTCTCCTCTTCATGTCCCCTTTTGCTAAATTCTTTCTTCTCTCCAAAAAGTACCTCTCCTACCTTCTTGTCTTTTGTGTGTGTGTGTGTGTGTGTGTGCGTGTGTGCGTGTGTGTGTGTGTGTGCGCGCGCGCACACGCATGTCTACTGTATGAGGATTGTTTGCATGAGTGTGGGTGGGAGGGGGTCGTTAACTAGACCAGGGGACTGTGCCAATGGAACACCAACTATTCTGTTACCAATGACTGTACCGCTGAGGATTATGACTCCCTCTCCCCCAGCAACTATTGACAGCTTATCATGTATAAGTTTTTCCTAAATCATTTATGACAGGCCTAATCTTACACAGCTAACCACTGCTGCTATAAGTTCACGAGTATAGCAAAGTTGTAGCCAGAAAACAGATTCACATCACTCCTTCCATTTTCCAGCTCTTACATTCTTTCTGCCTTTTCTTCTGTTATGTGTGTGGGCCTTAGAAGGAGTTATATAGATGTTCTGTGTAGGGCTGAGACTAAGCAGTTACTTATTCCTAGAATCCATCTCTCTCTCTCTCTCTCTCTCTCTCTCTCTCTGTGTGTGTGTGTGTGTGTGTACTTTACACTGCATGTGTGAAAGTCAGAACACAACCTGTAGGAGTTAGTCTTATGTAAGTCCCAGGAGTTGAAATCGGGTTTTCAGGCTTGGTAGCAAGTGTCTTTCCTCACTGAGCCATCTCAGAGGCCCTCTTCTCAGCACTTTGATCAGTTGCAAAATTCTTCATCAAGTCCTGCCCACTACAAATAGGAGCTTGTCTGATCGAGGTTGAGAGTAGCCCTCACCTATGGGTACAAACACGAGTATTTTAGAAGACGGTCTGACACCACGCTTGTTTAGCAAAACAACAGTGATCGGTTCCTCTCTAGGTCATGTCACCTCCATGGCTGTTGATTTTTGACCACACTTATAGTACCATGCATGAATTCTCTATATGGACAGGCCTCCAATCCAAGCATAAAGTCAGTGGCTACCCCATGAACAGTCAGTTGTGCCACTAACCTTGCCTCATAGGTTGGTGGTGTAACCGTAGCATTCCCTACTAGACAAGGTTAGTCAGTGACTTCTCCCAGCAGCCTCCACAGCACCCTCTGGAACCATGAAAACTATCCAGCAAGAAGGAAGCTTCTAGCTCAGTTCAAGCTTAATTTCTCCATGTTCTGTAACCAAATTACATAGTGTTTATGTCTATAGATCTCATCATCTAGTTCTACTGGAAAACCAAAAATATTCCTAGCCCAAATATATTTTTTGAAATTTTATTTTGAGACAGGGTCTAAGTGGCACAGGTTGACCATAAACTCATTCTAAAAGCCAGACAGATCTTGAACTTGCAATCTTTCATGACCAGCTTCTTAAAATGGCTGGAATTAGAGGTGTGTACCACTGTGCCATCAGCTGTGAAGTTTAAATGAGTCACAGTGTGCTCAGAATGAGGCCTGGCCTGGTGTAATCTCAGCAAAGTTTGCTGTGCTGGCTCTCCTGGATGGTGACTGCACCATGTTGGCTACCCCTGACTCTTGCATAAATGATGATAAAGAAGAAGTGATCCTTCTGGGAATTCCTGACGTGGGTCAGGGAGCTGGGAAGAGCAAAGCCCTCCCAGGAGTTGGTTCCTTCCTCCCACCTTATTTAAAAACAAATGGAGAGTGACCTTGGTACCCTCTTGCCAGGATGTGTCACCCCAGGATCCTTTGACAAGCCCCTAGAGGCAAACACATGCCCACATGCATAGGTACATGAGCACAGACAGACAGACACACACAGACAAGACTCGGTGCCTGTCTCCAGCATGGCATCTAGCACCCTGTGCGTCTGCAAGGACCCCTAGCCACACCGGACCTATCCCAGGATGCTTCTATTTATGATTCTTGGTCTACAAGCATATTCTATGTACTCAGAGCCTAAAACCAGAGCCTTGGAAGAGGAGAAGCAGTGGTATAAACCAGCACCCTTAATCTATTCACTAAGAGCTTCTCATTTTCTCTTCTCCTTTTAACAGAATTCACAGTTCTGGAGCAACTGTTTCCTAGGCAAGTTCAGAGTCTGAACAAGACCTTTAGGAGCAATTAACAATGATACCAATACTAACAACAGAAATTTCACACTAAGTACTTCGAGACAGCTGTCACCGCTCTATACGGCCTCAGTCTATGAGTTCCCTTTCAACCCCTTTAAGAATCTTATGAAGTAAGTACTGTAGTCACCAGCCCATTTTACAGATGGGAAAACTGAATCACAAACATGTGATAACTTGTCCTAAAGTCAGTGAGAGGCAGCCAGTCTGGTTCCATGGACTGGGCTGTTAACTCCTAGATGCTTTTTCTTAGATGCCGAGGAATTTATAGCCCTCTACAACATCATTCCACATGCGTAATTCAAAATAAAGCCAGCTCTGACTCATAAAAGAATGTAAGAAAGGGTGGCAGCACTCTGGCCATTTCCCCCGATGCCCACTGAATGCTTTCAATGCAGGTTACCAACTTTTTAGACTGCAAGCACCAGAAGGATGGCTACAGAGTGTGGAGCTGTGAGCCCCTTTGCAGCCACAGAGAATAGCCTGGTGTCAGTCAAAGTCCATGGGAAAAATTGGTGGACCACCCTATGGCTGTTTGTCTCTCTCTCTCTCTCTCTCTCTATATATATATATATATATATATATATATATATATATCCTCTGTGTGTTTGTCTGTTATTAGTTTATAGGATCAGTTCTGATAGTTTCATGTTCCCAAAGTCCATGATGATAAATATAAAGGTATAGCCCTGCCAACTAATTGAGGCCGAGGCTCAGTCTTCAGGTCACCAAACTTTTAAAGTCAGTAATTTCAAAGCCTCACATTTCTCCACTTTGGGTGGTATGTTCTCTCCTTGGAGGGGACAGCAAGGGGTTAAAGGGCCGGCAGGACCTGGAAGGTTTGATGGACACGGAAATGGGGATGAAGGGAGATATGATGTGTTTATCTAGTGAATAGAACAAGAGGCACATTTTACCTGGCCATCTGGGGCCTTCCCAAGAATCAACATGCCTGACCCTGAGTAGGCCTGGCTTGCTTGTGAGAGAAGGAAGAGCTGAAGCACACATGATGTTATTAATAGCCCAAGCTCCCTGGGACTCTTTTTCCCTGAGCTGTTTCCATGTGAGGCTCTATTGGGGTTTTGTTTCTGGTTCTCATGAGTTATTTCTGCCCTCTGCCCTCAGTCCGTTTGCAATAGGTCCGCTGGGTGGGGGTGGGGGAGCTGCCTGATGGCATGCTTAGTGGTCAGAGAATCAGGAAGGGCTGTGTGAGGGTGGGCAGGTCCTTTCTCAGCCTCCTTATTGTGCTCCGGAGAAAGAGCTTCACCAAAGAGCTGGGCCTGATTGTAACAGCCAGGATTCCAGGAAGCCTACAAGTGGGGATGTGGGGGAGGAGCACTGAAGACAAGCTCCCGCCAAGGGATGAAAGGATTCCCTCTGAGCACAGGTAAGGCTCTCTCCAAAGGTGTAGCCAAATGAGCCGGCCAGGATATAAAGGCAGGCTTAGCGCCGTCTAGTTTCTCACCTCATTCTTGCTGAGACTGAGGTGTGCAGTCCTGAAAGGCAAGGAAACTGTACTGGCTGCACACAGCATCACCTCGTACCCCTGTGGCTTCCTAGCTGCAGTGATTTAAGGAGAGCAATGATTCTCCTCAGGGGCAACAGGCAGAAAAGGCTCTACGAAATGTTTTCTTATCACGGAAGGAAAAGGAGTATGGCTGGCTTCTGGACCTCAAGGGGGAGGGGGTCCCAGAGAGTTGGAACCCAATATGACATTTAAGGGAAAATTCAACCTTAGATTTGAAAGTTGAGGAACAACTGACACTATGAGATGACATGGTAAATGTATGGGGGAGCTTTGAGAAACTAAGGGAAAAGGTTAAGTGAAAAAGTCACTAAGGATCAGAGAAGAGAGGAGGAAGGCTGTTCTAAACTGAAGTTTGCATTTTGTAAGCCAGTGTATAAGGCAAGCTCAGTGCCTAGGAGGTGCTTCGTAGATGCAGTGGAAGAAAAAAGAGAGGATGTGGACAAAAGCCATATGAATAGAAAAATAATAGTGTTACATACACTTGATGCCGTCACATCTGTCTCCCAAAGTCTGTATGTGAAGATGAGCAGGTTGTGTTGTAGGTGCAAACCCAGAAGTTCAGAGCGGGATGCCCAAAGATGCAGGAAGTTCATGGTAGGGGGAAGTAGCATACACCAGGTTTCAATCTCAGGATTTCATTGCAAAAATTGCAAAAAGGAGACAGAACCTCAGGACGGAAAGACAAAAATTCGGTTAGGGTGGGGACAGGAAGTGGCAGTTTAGAAAGTGTGCTCCAACTTCTCAGTGTCTTCCCTTTTAGCCTACATTTAAAATATTCACATAGTGCATTCCTCAGTAAGAGGGAAAGACAGCACAAGGCACAGGGGCTCTTGTGCACAAGGGTTTGGGGGGATAAAATGCAAAGATGTGCCACAGATTTCAGGGTTATGTTTGGCAGAGGGTAACAGAAGGCTGTAGCCCACCTTTCTAGCTCATCTCTCTTATAGAAGGAGAGAGCTAGGAGGACAGTTTAATGACACCAGAGCGGGCCTCGTCTTTGTATCTTCCTTCTCTAGCATCCTGAGATCGAAGCATTTGTCTTCTTTGTCACAAGTTGTCTGCTCCATCTCCAAACACTGCGTCAGAGCTCCAAGCAGAAAGCAGAAAATGGCAGTCAAAGCTTTGCCTGTTTATTTTGATGGCAAACTTTCCCTTAGGACTTCAATCTACTTTGAAACAGCCAGAATAGTGCCTGCTGGCTCCTTACCTGCTGGATGATGGATATCTGGATCCTTTTCTTTTCATCCTCTGTAGTACAGGAAGGAAAGACATAAGTTTGAATTGAAAGCGATGCTTATCAGCTTTGTGGTTATAATTTGTTTACAGCTGTTTATAGTGTGTTTATGAAAGGTGCACATGGTCTGTTTTGTTGGAAGGCATTAGTAGCTGGGGCCTGTGGATAGAAACTGAATTGTGAGTGCCATTTTGTCTGGAAGGCTGGCATAAGCTAATTCCATGAGGCCTGATCATAATCCCTACGGAAAGCTGTTAGTACTTCCAGCAACCCTGAGTATCATTATTGGCAAAAAGGTTGAGTATATTTCTCCAAAAGGAGCTACTCTTACATTTCAGGAGGCTAGTATGAATAATAAACTGTGGGTTTTTAAATTTTCTTATAACCCCTTTATTAAATTTTTCATTTATCTATCTATCTACTCACCAGACACACATTTATTCATCCATCGCTCCATCCATCCATCTATCCATCATCCATCCATCCATCATCCATCCATCCATACATCCGTCTATCTACCATCCATTGGTGTGTCCATGTATCCTCCCACCTCACTTTCACCCATTATCCATCTAGCTGTTCACTTAACCAGTCATCTATCATTCTTTCTATGCATGTATCCATCTGTCTATCCATTCATCATCCTTCAATCTGTCCATCATTCATATATCCAATCAGCTGCTCAGCAAACACTTTAAAACCCATGTGCCAGCTGGGTGAGGTGGCACATGCCTGTGATCCCAGCGTTCAGGAGGCAGAGGCAGGCAGATCTCTGTGAGTTTGAGGACATCCTGGTCTACAAATCGAGTCCAGGACAGCCCAGGCTCACTAGGTATATTGCTCTGAGTGCTTTACTGCTCCGGATTCCAACGTCCCCTTGTGTAGTAGAATGAGAATTGTCACCATCCCCTGTGTCTTCTGCCTCTGTTTTGTTTCGCTGTCTTGGAAAACAAAAACAAACAAACAAACAAACAAAAACAAACAAAAAAACCCCATGTGCTAGCTGTATTGTCTTCTGCTGAGCTTGTGTTCTTGTCTCTTTCTTTTCTCCAGGCCTGGCTGAGACCTTTTCCAAATGTGGGAGCCTAAGGATGGAGAGTTATCTAAAGCAGTTGCTATTTCAGTCCAGAACTTGAAGTTAAAAATGTTCAAATGGAAAAAAAAAAGTTTAAAAATATAGATGTGTATTTTTCTAAAACCCCATTAAGCTGTCAAGGGCTCTCAACCGTGTGTTTCCTTTCCCATCGTTGCTAATTGGCAAAGTATGTTTGTGCCCCAAACAGAAGAGAAGCCCTCCTTTTTCTCCCCCTCTTCTTCCTCTTCTAGCTCTGGCTCCCCATTCCTGTTCCCCTTCTTCTGATTCTTGTATTTAGTTTATTCCCCAGCCTTAGGGACCATGGCTTGGCCTCCACCCCCTGGAAAGATTACAAAACGGCAGCCTTGCTTCTGCCTAGAGGCTTGAGTACCCCTAGCACCCTCCATGGTGCATTTAGGCTGCCTAAGAGGCTCAGATCCTGGATACATCATTCACTAGGTGTATCGCTTTGAGTGCTTTACTGCTCCGGATCCCAGCTTTCCCTGTGTAGAGGGAGAACTGCCATCCCGCGTCTTCTGTCTCTACGAGCTGAAATAAGGAGAGTGTGTAAGGCACCAGGCAGAGCCTGGACGCGTGTTTACCATTAAAACTCCTTCTACAGCATGCTGTGGTCTTACTGCCCTCTGCTTTGCTCTCCACATTTAGAGTTTTAGCAGAAAACTAGAAGATAGACCTTCCTCATCCCATTCTGTAATTTTAATAAATGTAATCATATAATAATTTGATATAATTAGTGAAAAAATAAAATGGAAGACACTTTGATAAAACTGAGTGGGTAGAACAGGGGGCAGAGCCAACCTACTGGGCACAGGAGTATCTCTTAGCGTCCTCCTCTCTCACAGTCTACCAAATGCGTATACCAAAGCATTTAAGGTTGTTTTGTTTATGACATTGTATCCTTTAATGTTATCCTACCATCGTGGCCACTCCTCCACTCCTAATGTCTAGAGAATCAAAAACACACAAGTAAATTGTTTTCCTCATTGCCCAGCACAGCAGGCAGAAGCCTGGAGAGCTGCCTGGAAAAGAAGATCCAGTGCTGAGGATTGCATGGGGCAGGCAAAGGCAGCAAGTTGAGGCTATTGACTCAGATTTAAGGCAGCGTCTCCTCATTTATCAACTTCTTCCTTGGCTAAATGGAGGCATTGTTTCAAAGGAAGCAGTGACCAGGCCTGGTGGGAGGTAAATGCTTGTAACCATAACACTTAAGAGAGTGGGGCAGAAGGATCTGGAAGTAGAGCCCAGCCTGGGCTATGTACATGCGTACATACACACATACACACACATACATACATACATAGGAAGACCCTGTCTTAAAACAAACAAGTAGACAATAACAAAAGAAAGGTTTACAAGATGATTGGAGATGAGTCTGCAAGACAGAGCATCTCCTAGTCCTGGGACCATGATTCTGATTTTGGCACTTATATATGTAAGCAGGAACCCAAGTTCTGAGGATGCTGCAAACATTTCTACACATTGAGCTAAGACAGTTTAGGAGTAATCCTTAAAACAAAACAAAATAACCGGGGCCCAGGGTTCCCCAAACATCTCAGTGGCTCATGTTCTAAACTTTGGGCTCTTCACTGCATCAGCTGTTTAGAAATCAGCTGACTAAGTGCTGGGTGCTAGTCCGCCACGTGTGCTACAGGTGATTCCACCTGGGCATGTCAAGGTCCCTGCTTTTGAGAGGCTTGAAATTTAGCTGCCTATGCAAACGATATCATGTACATGATAGCTCAGGGCAGGCCATCCTAGCATGACACATGTGAATTAGAAGTCTAGGCTGCAGTGACGGGGTCAGTGGGTCACTGAGGAGGGAGTTCTAGGGTCAATCACATCTTGTGATTACCTGGGAGATCCTTGGCCAACCTCTGTGAAGTGGCTAGGCCCGTGTACCTCTGTAGACTCTTTACCCAAAAGATCTGCTTCAATTTCCATGTCCTGTGTCTTTGCTCAATAACATCTCAACTTAACAGCTAGGCCCAGGCCTCTCATGGGAGAGCTGACTACAACATGGGAAGGAGAGTACTCAATGTGGCTAGCCTGAACCTTGCCCTCCTTGTGCTGAAGGCATTCACAGTGAGGGCAGAGAAAATGAAAGGGTGCTAGGAGAGGACAATGAAGGAGTGTGTATGGGGAGGGGGAGTGCTAAGGACAGGGCTCTTTGCTGAGGGTGTACGTGGCACAAGTCCCTGGTCCACTGGGACAGATGTTAAAACAAAAGCACTTTTATCTGGGGGAAAGTGTTCCCAGAAAAACACTCCGAGCTAGAAAATTCCTGTCATCCTCGCTCATTTTTTCTGTGGGATACAAGGGCTCAAACAAATTCTCGAACTTTACTGCAGAGCCCTGACATAAAGGAGAGCCTGTGTGAGGCGGGGCTGGGGACTTGAGCACAACCTCCCAGACTGCTGATCTCTCGAGGTTGCCGAACCACATCGCCCATTAATACCCAGCTGCTGGCACCCTCACCGAGCCTGCCATTCCGCTGCCCTTCGGGCTCTAGCCTGCCTCCATAAATGCCCTACTGAAAGAGAAAGCTCCTTTCTTAGCAACAGAAACCCCATTTATCAGTTAGGAGGCTTTTGATTGTAAGTCCCCAAATACTCTACCAGGAATGAATTAAAGCTCAAATAAATACCCTCACACTTAGTGTTGAATCTGGAAGTGGACAGTAGTTATGGTTGTTTAGTGTATCCAGCTGGGCATAGGTCTCCCCTGTTCAGCTGTCATCACATGCTCACAAGATGGCATCCATAATTCCAAGAAGCAAGTCCTCACAGAAGACACCCAGAGTGGAGGCGGGTAAGCGCCGACGGTTGGATTGGTAACTTCTCTCATTGCTGGTGTGAATGCCTGACAAGAAGCAGCCTAAGGAATGGCAGGCTTCTGTTAGCTCCCTTTTTGAGTGCACAGTGCCGTACGGTGGGGAAGTCATGGGGGAAGCAGTCTGTGGCGGCTGCTCACACCACATCTGACAGAGAGGGGCAAACGCCGGTGCCTAACTCCTTTTTCGTGGAACGATGCAATCGGGCCTCCGAGTAGGTCTTCCCATCGCTGTTAACCTAATCTAGACAATTCTTTCCAGGAATGTCTGCTAGGTGATTCTGGATCCCACCAGTTTGACGATTGATGTTAACCCTTATGGTGGTCTCCACTGACATCTCTTATTAAGAGAGTGTTTTTCCAACAGGATTTGTTCATGTTTCATAGGCCAGAACAGGATCAGATGTCAACAGACAATCATTAGCAAAAGCAAAAATCTCTTTGATAACTTACAACATTCATCCTCATTGGGGGTGATGTCCTGCAGAGAGTGGAAATCGGTTAGTGCTTGGGGGCCGTATAAAGATACACTCACATACAGAGAGCAGGGGTAATATACTGGTGGTATTGCACTTTTATGAAAAGAAGCAGTTAGAAGCAACATGTTTAAATGGCTCCTTCGGGGGAAGGACCTTCCCCCAGTCATGATTCATTGCTGGTTCCTGAAGATATCTCGCTTGACCTGGCAGGCAAGGAAATGATGGGCAAACAAATGATGCCACATCCTACCTGGGAAGAATCATACTCTTCAAGATGACAACATGGTGGCTGTTCAGGACTTCAAAAGTGTGCTGGTCCACTGATCTGCTCTCAAAGGTGGCCATGGCTGCTAACTTGCTAACTGCATGGCCGAACTGAGCATTTAAGTTGGCAGCCAGAACTGAGTTTCTGGGGACAAAAAAAAAAAAAGGAAATTAACAAAGGATCTGTGATTAATAAAGAGACAGCTAAAGGATAATTGTACACAGTCAGACTGTGTGGTGAGTGATTATGTTAAATGACTTAACACATTTCCCCCCTTCTTGTGTGGCACTTCAACAAGACGAAGCCTGTGGGTCTCAGTCAATAGCGTTCTATTCCAGTGAGTGCAGACCACTGGATGGTGAAAAAGATGGAGTTAATCTTGATAAGCATGCAGCTGGATCCCAGCAGCTTGGGGAGTTTATAGGAGAGGGATAACAGCTTAGTCCATTTCCCAGCTCATCTTCAACCTCCTCCCTGTTGCTTGAGCTCCTGTCTATGCTTCTCTGCACCTCCCAGTCACCAGCCTTGCCTTGAGACAACCAGTATTCTCACCACATAAGAGACTCTGGTTTGGCTCAGCATTTTTTGTGGTGGTTGTGTGGGATAGCTGAAGAAGATGAACAGGAGGTCTGGAGCCTCCACAGAATTTCCCACATTTGTATCCATCACCACACACGCCATTTTGGTTACTCTGGAGTCTTGACTTACAAAGTCTACCTGATGCCTGGATGTTTGCTTTGAAGGCCTTCCTATATTTATAAGGAAGCAGGCACGGGCAGAGTAACACACATCTTGAGAACCTTATTCTTGAAGGAAGACAGAGAGATGGTAGTCCCTTCTGGGATTAGAAACTTGCATGAGTTAAACTGGTGCTTCTTGACACATGTGGGTTCCATTGTCTCCTCTCTTTGACTGGGTCACTACATCTTACTAATGATTTCTCCATTAGCAACACTAAAAACTGAGAGGAGTCATATACCCAAGGAACTGTGTGTGGGTGATGTTCATATTCTTCTTTCTGTAAGTCAATGTTTCCTGAGACTAACTGTAGACTACTCTGGGACTTTTTTTATTTTAATTTTTTATATTAATTATAGTTTATTCACTTTGATTCCCAGCTGCAGCCCCCTCCCTCATTCCCTCTCAATCCCACCCTTCCTCCCTCATCTCCTCCCACGTTCCTCTCCAAGTCCACTGATAGGGGAGGTTCTCTTTCCCTTCCATCTGATCCTAGCCTATCAGGTCTCATCAGGAGTGGCTACATTGTCCTCCTCTGTGGCCTGGTAAGGCTGCTTCCCCTCAGGAGGAGGTGATCAAAGAGCTAGCCACTGAGTTCATGTCTCTGGGAATTTTTAAGTCAGAATTCCTTCCTATGTCTCAGCTCAGGTCAATCTCTTCACCTGGGATTCAGGCTTTGGGTTTTAAAAACAAATTCCCAAGTGACTATTGTGTGATACTAAGACTAAGAAACAAATGTGTGTGTGTGTTGTATGTATGTATGTATATATGTATATATCTATATATGTATATATGTATGTCTATTTTGCTTCCACCAAGCATACACTCTATGTTTTAAACATCAAAAGAAAATAAAGCAATTCTCATTCTGGAAAGAAGTGAAGTCCATTTTTGCTTGATTCTTTCTGTAAAAAAGATCTTTTCATAAAATGTGAACTTGTATATATGGAGAAAGCTCCCATTTTTAGTGTTATGCACGACGGGAAATCAAGTAAGAAACCTTTTAGAATGTTAGTAAGATAACTTCAAATAGACATAGTTTGTATTTCACTTATTGAGATGAGGAAGAAAGTATGGAAAGACATCTGAAGTGAGTGGCATGCCAGCTGAACATGGGTTCTGGTGAGCCTCAGCATGTATTCTTGCCATGTGCCCGTCTTTAAATAGGTGTTTTATTTCTGAACCGCCCCAGATGATAGCTGCTTCTGGTGGAAGCTGAGATTTTATAACTGCATGTTTTGTACCAGATGTGGTTGTAAAAGCAGTAGGTGCCTCAACTGAGGTTACTCAGAGGGGAAAAAAAATAGAAGCTCAAAGGGGTAAAGAGGCAAGACCGAAAATACACTTCCAGGTTGTCCTGCTCCTGTAACCCCTTCCCTGTCCACAGAGCAGCTGCTGAGATCAGGTCATTTGGAAGAGGTAGCCCAAAGTGGTCTGCCCATTCACAGAGGGTGGGCTTAGAAATGGCCTTCTTTGCTGAGGACTGGCAGTTCCCAAAGGCAGAGGCAGAGAGGCCCTCTGACTCCAGGCAGTGTTGGCAAAATCCTGAGCCTGAGGCAGATGAGAGCAGTGGATGGGTTATTCCAGGTGTAGCTGTAATTGAGCTTTAGCCTTTGGCCAGATTCATGGCAGCTATGTGCTGGTGATCATCACAGCTATAGCTCATAATTATTTCTCTAAGTCAATCTGTCTTCCCCCCCCCCCCCCCCCCGCATCTGTGTGTGTGTGAGAGAGTACACATACGTGCACACACATATGCAAAGATGCATGCAACCATGTGCATGTGGAGGCCAGAGGCTGACATCATTAAGTCTTTCTCTGTTACTCTTCACCTTATTATTATTATTATTAGTAGTAGTAGTTATTTTTGAGGCGAGGTCTTTCACTGAACCTGGACCTCACCATTTCAGTTACCTCAGTGCTGGGTTTGATTCTGGACATGCATAGCTGTCCTCAGCTATTACATGAGACCCCACGAACTCAGGACCCGATGTTGGTATGAGCGCCCTACCCATTCAATCCTTCCGTCTTGGCTCTCAATGTAGGCAATGCATTAATAAAGAAATTGCCTAAAGTTTGTTTTAAAGATCAAGAGAAAAATAATGTTTTTGCTAAGTGCCAAGCATTCTTTGAGCCCAGAGTTTCTATGTTATGTGCAAAGTAAACTACTTACATGCTGAAATCCCATATAATTATATAGTTGTCTAGTGTCGCTGTTCTCATCTCTTTAGTAAGAAGTTCACCCCTCCCACTCATGTAAGGTAGCAAAGACCTTTGTTGTCAATGAGCTCTGACATATATTGATTAACCCACATTTCCTCCTTTCCAATTATCCTCAAATATCTGAGCAATACAATACCTTTTTTGGGTAGACCATAAAAGCCTCAGAGAGTGGGGCCATGCTTTTGATGTTTCTCTTCCAGAAGTCTAGAATATGGGGCTAGGATATGCTGCAAGCATGAGGACTTGTGTTTGATCCCTAGAACCTACATTTTAAAAAGTTAGGCCAGGTGGCCTACACTTGTAATCCCTGGGTTGAGGAAGCCAGGGACAGGCAGATTTCTGAAACTCACTGGCCTAACCTACTTCATGAATTCCAGAGTAATGAAACACCTTGTCTAAAATAAAACAAAACGAAACAAAACAAAACAAAACAAAACAATCCACCAACAAGGTAGATGGAAGAATTATAATTGAAGCCATCTTCTGGCCACTGCGTGCACATGCATAAAAAATAAAATAAAAGAAGTCTTTAGTATGCCTGAGTGCACACTATTTGCACCCAATGAGTTCATGGCCACCATCTAGCAAGATCACTAGGTCACTAGCCTACCAATACTGCATGTCAAAAACTGGAGTAGAGATTGTAGTCAGAGCCAAAGGACCCTGAGAGATGGGATTTGAGTGCCCTTACACTATGGAAGCAGAGACTTTAAACAACAAGAAGAAAGAAACTATGGAGATTCAGAGAAGTAAATAACTTGCTACTAAGCCTATCTGAAGAGGGGGATTTGAAGTAACTGTGTCACTAGGCTGCTACAGCAGCTCATTTTACCCTGCAAAGGCAGTGCCCTGGCACCAGCGTTAATAAGGCTGAAACTATTATACTCTATTGCAAAGGAACACAGATGTCTACATTAACTACGGAAAGCACACGTATCCCTCTCTAACAATCAGGGTACCGAGCAACACAAAGGAGTGCACAATTGCCCTGGTTCTGCTTTGAAAAATCAGACTAACTACCTTGGCTATTGAATGACGCCTGCCATCTCTTGTGATGGGGAGAAAGCAAAGACACCCCAATGCCAGCTGCCCTTACAGAGGATCCAAATACCATTCCCAGGCTATCCTTGTTCCTTGGCCAGACGATGGCTTCTGGGAACCCAATGAAAGCGACCAGCTCTGCATGGCTGCCTCATCTCGCTTGAGGAAAAGGCCTGCTTCTCCCATAGTCTCTGTTTTTGTTACACAAATCTGCTCAGCGACCTTGTTGGTCCCTTTTAGGGGAAACTGGGCAGCATTATAGATGCAGGGTCCTGAAAGAGAAGCTCCTGCTTCTGTCCATGGTGCGCTTTGAGGTGCAATTCCCTCTAGGATGCCCCTCAACAGGAGGCCGCATACCTCAGCTCTGGAGACACCCTTTTTCTCCCTCAACCCAATGCCATCTGGTATTCAGCAGATTGGAATCTTGCTCTTCTGAGGTCTTTGCTCTCCTGGCTTCGTCTCCCCCTTAACTTACTCTTGCCAGGCTACAAAACTTTATGAGCATTGTCCTCTGCTTCCTTACAGGCCCCACTTCAGAGCTCCAACTCAGAGCATGTCAGTAGGAATTTAGTCATAGCTCCTTCACTCACTGGCTGGGCAACTGCAAGACAGATGTGTTTCCTTTCCTTCCCAAGTAGCTGAGGCTGACCTTGAACCTCTGATCTTCCTCTTGAGAGCAAGGACTACAGGTGTGCGTTACCTGCAAAAAGTTTATGTAGTTCTTGGGTTGAACCCAAGGTTCTATGTTAGGAAAGCATTTTAACAACTGAGCCATAATTCCAGCCCCAGAACTTAACTTATATCTTAAGCAATGTAAATTATATATGATATATATAATACATGGGCTCCTTCAGCCACAAATATATCAAGGATGTTATTTTTAACTTTTTTTGTTTTCTTTGTTTGAGATCAAAATTAATTTTTTAACCTTCCTCAAAATGGTAGCTGATAGGAAAATTGTGTGTGTGCATGTGAGTGTGTTACTCTGCATGCATGCATGAACACCCTTGATGAGGACATAACAGGATGCCAGGTATCTGCCCTATGCCTTATTACCTTGAGAGAAGATCTCCCATTGAACATATGCTTTGGCTATGCTGATTATCCATTGGGTTCTCAGGATCCACCCATCCTCACCTCACAACACTGGAGTTATAGGTAGCCATGGCTGGCCTTTTATGTGGTGCCAAGAGTTCAAACCTAGGCTCTCTTCCTTGCAGAACAAGTACTCTTACCCACAGAACCATCCTCTTAACCTCTGCTTCCCAAATATATTTTTAAGCCCAGAAGCTCTGCACAGTAAGACTCTCTTTCTCCAAGTAATTCTTCCTGTTAGGCAGCAAGCCCTAAGAATATTTGTAGACACTGTCATCCTCATAACTTCTAGAAAGTGCTCTGGCTCTCTCTTGCCTCATTCTGTCTAATTTGTTCCATAGTGACAGTTCCCCTCTGGCTTTGGTTGGGCCTCATTATTAGAGTCTGTCTGCTTAAGGGTCTTCTATGTGGTTGTGTATTCAAATCCATGTGTATTTAAGTCCTAGCCCAGCGGTTCTCAACTTTCCTAATGCTAAGACCCTTTAATACAGTTCCTCATGTTCTGGCAACCCCTCCCCCAGCCATAAAATTGGTTTCATTTTTACTTCATAATTGTAATTTTGCTACTGTTATGAATTGTAATGTAAATATCTGATATGCAGGATATCTGATATGGGACCCCCGATGGGGTCTTGACCCACAGGTTGAGAACCATTGTCCTAGTCTGCTGCCTTTTGTGTCTCACTGGCATTGTTTCCCTGGAAAGCCCTTTTGATTCCCTGAGCACAGACTCTTTGCTTGCTGGGAAAGGTGATGGCTAATCTTTACCCTTAACTTGACAGGATTTGGAATCACCTAGGAGACACAGCTCTGGGTCTGTCTGTGAGGGGGTTCCTATGGAAGGGAGATCCACCCCGAATGGGGGTAGAACCAGCCTAATGGCAGGGGTCCTAGATGGAATAAAACAGAGAAAATACGCTGATCACTATTGCTCACCCGCCCTACACTCCTGCTTTCACAGCTAGAGTTAGTTTTTATTACAATGCTTTCCCAGCCATGATGGACTACCCTCTCAAACTAGGAGCCAAAAGACAGCCTTATTCCCTCAAGTTGCCAGCTTATTTTGCCATAATAATGAGTGAAGTGATGCAGAGGACACCAAGCTGAAATGCTCTGCACGACTTCACCCTAGGTGACCACTGGCAATTATAGGCAACCATAAGGGACCACTGGCAATCTTGAGCTGCAAAGATATGAGTTTAAGTACAAACTATTGCTTATGATTTCTTTCAAACTTTCGTGAAACTCTTCCATATAGCACCTGCACTGATTCACAGAGCCCAGGGCTTCTTTAACATGACATCTCCAGGCCACCAAAGAAGACATATAACTACAAGATAGTCTAAGGTTGCATTTTTCAGGATGCAGTTGGCCCTTGCAGGAATCAAGGTAGGAATAAGAGCTTGAAAGAGAAGGGGGAGCTTGGAGAAATGGGTCCCTTGGTGGGCAGGAGCCACAGCCAGAGCGCCAAAAGGTGGAAGAGGAAGTGGGGTGGGTAACACCAGCCAGCAAGAACTTAGAGGTCTGGTGATACTCGCTTGAGACCGAGGAAGCCTGAGAGTACAGGCTGAGGCTGGGTCTACAACCACTCAGGGGATAGAACCTGAGAACCAGGGAAGCCTTTCTTGGGAAGCCTCACACCAACTGTGAATCCGACATTCACTGCTTACCTGCTTTTATGCCACCCCTTCCTACCTTGCCCAAGCAAGGAGGAGAGATGTTCAGAAATGGATGTGACCATAACTGAGCTGACTTGTTTCTCCATTCAAAATGGCCCCAAGGAGCATGTTCATGGTATGGCTGCCATTATCTCTGTATGGCTCCAGCTGATGTGCTCATGATGCCGGCAAGTTTAGAATACACCTATTAACAGAAAGGAAAAGAACATGCGTGCTTACTGCCTAGCATGTCTCTAAATCAGGGTTTATATGACATGACAGTCTGGAGATGGGCCTCGAGCACAGGGGATTGGTGAACTGCAAACTTAATGTCAGGAAGGGAGAAGAAAGCACGGGTGATAAGAGAAATAGACACAAGTCATCTCGGCCTAAACATCTGGCTATGCTATGATCCATTCTTCAGCCTCATCCAATTTAACTCCCCCTTGGTTCTGCATTGTAAAAATAGCCGTCCTAGAAATAGCGAATATTTATTGCCCACTTTAGTTGTCTGATCTTGTTTAATCCTGACACAGCTTTATGAAGTGAGTACTGTCATCATCCCATTTTTCAGCTCCGAGCCCTGCGTTCATAGCTGGTAAAGGATAGAGCACCAGAGCTGCTGTTCCAGGGGGCTCTCTGACATTCATTGTTCATTGATTTATTGATCCATTCATTCATTAATTCATTCATTCATTTCTTTACCAGACACTTAGTGGCTCAGGGATCAAGCCATAGATCTAAAGATGGGTAAGCATAGATGCTGCCTTAAGACTCACAGGCTACAGAAACACTGTACAGGCAGAGTCCTGCTTTATCAACATCAGTGTCACAGCATTCGCCTTAACAAGTTATTCACGTGGTCCTTGATCTGTCAGCTCTGTGGTCTAACCTTCTGCGTCTAATCTGTCTCATCCCACAATCCTGACCCATCTTCTAAGCTGCTGATTTCTTGTGCTGCCCTGCTGATGTGCCTTGTCTCATTGCTGGACTTGGCTGCCTTCCAGTTCCACTCAGTATTTGCCACGTAGTACCCTCTCGGCGTGAGTGGAATGGGGGAAGGACCCTGAGACAAGCCTTAGGGGTCACTTCTAACTCTGCCTCTGCCTCCAGCTGGTCCTTGGGTCAGTCCCTTTGTGTGAAGTGGCCTTGGCTTCCACTCTCTGTAAAAGAAGTCATGAGATTAGATGGTCTCTGACTCACCAGCAAGGGTCAGCATAGGAGGAGATAGGGGGTTGTGGGAGGCACGTTCTCGGAACTCTAATCAAAGCCCACCATTTTTGCTTTCCTTAGCCTCAGCCTCCTTCTCAGAGACTCTCTTCTTTCTTGCCGCTCCTTTCTAGGGAGGCTCAGTGACTGCCCCCAGACCCAGTTTACCAATTGTGAGGTCCAGAGTTACTGAAATAAGTGCAGCGGGCACTCAGGTATGTGCACAGCTCAGGATGTTGCCATTCTTACTGCTCTCCTTCTCCAGATCAACTGCAGGCTGGAAACCAGAGCTGGTGTTGGTGCTGCCGGGCCAGCTCAGCCCAACATCTTCACCCCCAGAGAACCAAGATTATGTGACCTCAGCACACTGAACAGATAAGGGGGAAGGAACATATCTTAGGTAGCTGAGCTATCAGCAGGTCTGGTGCTACTTAGACTCCCAGGTTCTGAGACAGTAGACATTCCTGTGTCCCAGAGCCATCTCACACCCAGCACAAACAGTATCCTAAAGCACTGCTTTCCTCTCCCTAGAAGACAGTGTAGCAGAGAGGGGCTTGAGCTGAGAGCTCACGGTGACATTACTTGATCTACTCCAAAAGGTGGTAGTAGAAATGTTTTAAACTCGGGCACTAGGCTTTGCTTTCATTCCGCTCTTGTTAATGTTGTTCCTACAAAGGACGGGGGGCATAGGTGTCTGGCACAGCTGTCTGCCGGACACCCAAGGCTCCTGTCAGTTTTATGGGCAGCCTTTTTACCAGGAGAAGGAACCAATGCTGGCCTCTGTGCAAATCTTAGGCATTTACTGTAGTTTGATTATGCCCAAAGCTTGGTAATGGCCCCCGCAACATGAAACAATTTCTCTCACTACTCACATAATATATTCATTGCATTCTGGGAATGCGGTTGTAAAATGCAAGTCCCCGGCCTCTGAGAGCGTACGTTCCAACAGAATGTGCAGGACATGAAAAGTCTGAGAAAATAGGCTCACATGAAAGTCATAAACTTCTAGTCCAGAAGGTATTATAATCTAGGCGGGAAAGTAAAACTTGCTGTCTCTCCAGAGAGATAGTCCCAATAGAATGTGTATGTATACACATGTAATGTTGTGTGCTCATATGCATGTGCATGTAATATCAGAACTATTTTACAGATATACGTATCTCAGCTAAAGCAAAGAGAAGTCTCTTTGTTCTACCTTCTCATTGCAGTCACACATCCAGTGGCTTGGATGAGGTCCACTCAACACTGGCCAGGGCTTGTTCACTCAATCTCCTGATCCAAAATGTTGCTCTTTTCTAGACACATCCTCATGCACACACTCAGAAACACTACTTTAACAAACAGGCTTACTCATCCCTTAGCCCTGTGAAAATTAACCATCACAGTGACTGGCTAACAATATTTCACCTGGAAGCCATGGCCAGTGATTTCAGCCAGCCAAAGCTCCATTGGTTCCTTTTACTGTGTAGATAAGGATTGTGGCAGAGAACACTTTGGTACCAGAGGCCTCGGTCACACCTTGTGCACGTGATTTTAGGCTCTGCCAGATGCTGGCCTGAAGTTTGAATAAGTCCCTTAGTTAACCTTCTTTACTCTTCATTTGCAGAAGGGGTCGCCTTCATTCCCCCAGAGTGAGAACAGATACGTGAATATACATGGAATCGGCTGTCAGACTACAAATCACCAAGATGTAGTTATTATTCTTGAGACAAAGGAATTTCAAAACATAAAATATTTTGAGTGTCATAATAGATCTCCTTGCCTCCCCAAGCAATTAAAGAATTCATTCACTGACATGTATAGTTAAGTGTTTCCATATCAGAGTTATTGAGCCAAGTTTCCTACCATAATCTTCATTCAGACCCAGATCAATTTAAGTGGAATTTCCCATTACTCACAAGGAGCTAATGCTGATTTTCCCACTGGTTGCTGGAGTTGAAATCTGTATTGAGAATAGGATGAGTTCTTAAGTTAGCGGAGGCTCACCACCTGTGCGAGGAAAATACAGCTGGGTAAGAATGAGGTGATGGACTAGAGAACAAGTCCACACAGGTGACTCATGCATTTGGCATGCATCCACTTGGCTCCAGATGCTGGGGAGACAAAGTGGTGAAGACCAACACTGTGCTCATGGAGACCTCAAGCCAGCAACTCCCAAAGGGGGAATAAGTACCAGGATAAAGACTGCTGATGGGGCGTGGATGCAGTAAGAGGAGCACCCCACCCTCCCAGACTTGGAAGCGGGAGTGGGGCCTGGGAAATGCCTCCGGGAAGAAGTGTTGGAAGCTGCGGGGTGGATTGAAGTTAGCTGTAGTGTGCAGTGGGCAAGCAGTCAACAGAGATTCCAGTCAGAGGGAACAGTATACTGCAAAGTGTTGAGGGGAGCTGGTGGGCAGAGATGGAAGGAAATCTGAGGTCTGAAAAGAGGAGGGCTGAGGCATATGTCCAGAGCTGAGGTTGCCACATTTGCAGTGTCTGGGCAAGAAGGACCACTTAAGCGGCTTGTACTTCTGCTTTGAAAAGGTGACCCTACAAAGCAGTTCACCAGGGAGAGTCATGGTTTATGTCTCTTGCCTCAATGTCATCATTAATAGCTCTGCCTCCTTTCACCCCTCAAAGTCTCTTAGGTTGGATGATGAACTATATATGGTCACTGGTAACTAGGGCTTCTGGAAGAGGCAGGTAAGCAAGGCAGGGGCTGTGAAGCTGTGGAGCCAGAAGTCCAGACCCTCTGGAGGATGTAGGTGCCTGTGAACAGACAGCTTAAGACACGAAGTGGCTCACAGCTGCCTTTAAGATAACCGTGGCTTCAAAGCCAAAAGAGATGGGTTAGATCCTAGCCTGACAGATTCTTTATGGCCAGTAACTTCTCTGCTAGTCACCTGAGGAGTTTAAGATTAGCTATTCAAGGTTTCAGCTGGAACCTTCTGGATGTTACAGGGCCAGCCATAAAAGATGCAGAGCAGAAGTCAAGAGACACCTGGCTTTCACAGAAGATGCCTGAAGCAGACAGGCCTTCATTAAGCCCAGATCATGCATGGGTAGGTGACTAAACTCAAGTAGCTCAGGGGCTCTCAACCTCTTCCCACATTGAATCTTGTGGAACAGGACCTACTCTGAGGACGCTCAGGCCTGTTCCTTTGCTTCTTGGGGCTCTGAGAACTGGGGTGTTCTGTGAGGTCAGCTCCCTGAACCTTGCTTCCAGTGGAGGAGGCCTGTTATCAGAGTTAATGAGAGTTACTCATAGTTTAAGTGCTGTTTCCAGCCTGGAGTTGGCATTTTTGCTCGATTCTGCCTCTCCCACGGTAATTAACTAATTAACTATCAACAAAGGAATGATGCAATTATGATACAGCAAGCCAGGCTTCTCCTCCTCCCACTGTGGAAACCCCTGAGCTCTTAGACTCAGGAAAGTCCAGCCTGGGTCAAACAGGACTTCCTGGGAATTGGGATGGTCACTTGATTATTTCAAGCCTTTGCCCCACCCCTTTCCTTTGTCCCAGAGGCCAGGCTGGGACCCAGGTGGTGGCTCCCAATGTGAACCCTGGACTCTGAAGAAACTGAGTGGCTACTCTTTGTCCTAACTGTGGGCCTAGTGCTAGGGTTGAGGGGTAGGCTAAATCATGAGGGCTCTCTGAACCTGTTTCCTCATCAGAAAGAGATCTCTGTAATGCTGTTCTATCAGTGACTACAGGGACCTCTGTGAAGTTTGGACAACCCTTCCACATACCTGGGAAGAAACTGAGACCCAGAGTGTTATGACATTAGACTGAGACCACTATCACGTGCATGGAGCTGGGGTCAGAATCTAGGACATCGAAGCCCAGATGAACTTGCCTTTCTCCATCCTCTAAGGATGTTGCATTCTAGTTTTGTTGGTACTTTTCTGCCCAAAGAAGATCTGGTGATTCTGCACCCTCTCTGTCTTGGCTTCTATAGGTGGAGGCCCAAGAACTGTGGAGACATAGAGGCTGGGAAGCTTCTGAAGGCAGGATGGGGAGTTGCTCCGTCTGAGTCCCTAATGCTCTAGAAGCCTGAGGACATTCATCTTGGACTATGACCTGGGCAGCCGAGGTGGCCAGCTGGCTCCTGTCTTTGTTTAATATGTGCCTTATGAGCTGTGTCTCGTGTTCCAGAGATATCTGGCAGGGAAGCAATGTCAAAGCTCTTTCACTCTAGACCTCTGGTACTCTGCCTTGGAATCTCAGGGAAGACCGATTGCGGAGGCGACCTCATCAGAACTGGCCTCGTAGCTGCTTGCGTAGTGATAGACTGTCCCTCCCCACCCCCACCCCCACACACTCTCTGCTGTGATGTCCTCTCAGGGCAAGCCTCAAGTCCTAGTTACCTCTAAAACTCCAAGTCCCTTCTCATAGGACCCCCTAAGAGCAACTATTTGATCAAACTCACTTTATCAATTACAGACTGTTTGTACTGCCTCTTTTTTTCTCCAGATCCTGTCACTGTGGCTTCTAACCGATGTTAGCTCACTGTACTGGCATGCAAATGATATTTGATTATCTGAATTCTTTATTTGACATTATTTTATCTATTACACACTGTAATGCATAGTCTACATACTTGCCATTGTTAGTGATAGTAGCTACACTGGACTCCAGGATTCCAACATCCCGTGTTTTGTTGAAGCAGTCCCTGATTGCTGGGTATTTGGGTTGCCCCCAGTGTTTGCGCACTAGAAATACCACTATGGGGCCACCTGGCTTTTCTCCCCTTCACCTGGAAATGTCTATTCACATAAGCTTTCCTAAGCTAGAGGCAGCAGAGGCTAATGCCTGCTCCTCTGTCACAGGCAGGCCAGCATCTCATACTACAGTTCAGGGGCTTCTTATCAGGCTCTTAGTGCACCAGCAAGGAGGGAGGGTCCTGAGCCCAGACTTGACAGGACTGATGTCTCTCAGGAAGCTGGAAGCTGCTGTCTCTCAGTCTGGCTTCTTAGGTATGTTTTTTTTTTTTTTTTGTTTGTTTGTTTGTTTTTTTCTGTTGGAACATCTCAGCTGATGAGCCCTGAGGTGGGTCTGGTAACATGGCTTACTGTTTCTGGCAGGTCATTTTAAGATTACTCTGGGAAACAGACCGTCTGAGATGAAGGTGATGTTTTGGTTGAATCTCTACCCTTTCCGTTTGCAACAAAGATTAAAAATAGTTTTCCTAAGGCCACTCAGCCTGTTAGTGGCAAACTGGGCCAGGGGTCAAGAGGATCTCTCAAGTCCAGGCTAGGCTTCTGCAGTCCTCTACCCCCCTCAAGGAACCATGTTTACCAGTTAGCAAACTCACCACAGGTAAGATGCCAAGTCTCTATTAATTGACACAATTTAACAGAATTGCAATCAAGGTCACTGAAGGCTTCTTTGCAGGTATAATCAGGTATACTGAATCTTAATGGGAATGTCAGGCCAGCTTTGAAGAAGTGTCTTGGAGACTCACTATACACAGTAAAAGCTCTAGCAGTCAAGACAGGGGTACTGTGGAAGGATGTATAGAATAAAGAATGAAGAAATAGACTTCCATAGGTATTGTTAGATGATTTTTGATACATACAATGGTGACTCCATGGGGGAAAGAGTAATTTAACGCTTAGGCATCTTCTGCAAAACAATAAACTTTAATATATACACTAAACTATTCAAAAGTGAACCAAATGTGAAATGTGGAAATATAAAACTTTCTGAAAACAACAGAGGAGAATTTCTTCGTGATTCTAAATTACTCAAAGAGTTCTTAAATATAGCAACCAACTGATGGTCCATAAGAAAACAACACATGGGATTTAATCCAATTAAGACATTTTCATTTCTGTTACAGAAGTGTTAAAGATAATGAGGGGGAACCCTGCAGATTTGGGGAAATATTTTCAGGACACACATCAGACGAACGACTTGTATTTCAGAGAATAAATATATAAAAACAAACAAACAAACAAAACAAAGCAAACGTGAGAGCAGAAATGACCAGTTTTTAAACTGGTAAGAGCTTTGAAAACATGCACTACCACACAAGAGGGCAAACAGAGATGCTCAACATTGTAAGTCATTCAGGAAATGTCTATTAAAACCAGAATGAGATACCATCACATACCAACTAAGAGCGCTAAATGCACTGACTCCGCCAGGTGCTGGCAAGGATATGAAGAAACTGGAACACTCACATACTGATGGTGGAAAAGAAAAATAGCATGCTCATTATGGAAAATAGATTGTGCATGCCTCACAAAATTAAATGTATGCTTGCTATACATTAAAACAACCCCACTTCAAGATATTTACATTAAGGAAATAAAAACACATTCACATAAAAATCCATCAAGTAATGTATATAGCAATATTATTAGTGATTAAGAAAATCTGGATGTAAGCCTTCATTAATGCTCTCTGACACATTCATTCTGTAGAATACTCATTTTTCACAAAGAGTAACAAGTTATTGATATATACTGGAACTCTCATACATTAATGATGGGAATAAAAATAGCATAGCAATTATGGAAACTAGCTTGGTTATTTCTCATAAAGTGGATCTCAATGAATGACTAAATCATAATGAATGAATAAGGTTCAATGAATAAATAAATCTCAAAAGCATGATGGTAGATGAAATAAGCCATGAGGTAATGCTATATAATTCTATTTATATTACATTATAGAAAAAGCAGGATTATAGGGACATGAAACAGATTTCCTACTTGCCAGAGGTTGGGAATGAAGGGAGGGTCTGAATGCCTAGGAGAAGTATAAATGAATTCTCTAAGGTGCTGCAATTGTTCTTTGTTTTGTTAGTGGTTGCTTTAATTAAAACTCATGACTCTACACACAAAAAAACCCCAAGACTTCTATTATATATAGTTTAAAACACATATTAATGGCAAAGTTTTGTATTGTTAAATTATTTCAGTTTCCTCACTACCCATTACAGAGTCCACTGAGGACTTGGAAGAAGGAACTGATTTCTCATTCATTTATTAAGAAATGTGTGTAGGT